TTACCATAATTTTGCTACAATCCACATCCAATTAAAGTGCACAAATTAGAATTTAAAACTATGACAACAACTTGTTTCCAAAAGATGGACTTATAATTAGGGGTTTGGAAAATGAAAATGCAAAAGGTTGTTAGAACTCGAAGTTTCTTTGCATCAACATGTTTAAATCATTGAAATGAACTTGTTTGCACAGTAACTTGATGCAAAATCATAGTATTTCAAAATCTGACTTATGCAGCCCCTTTTGCACCCACATTACTCAACTCCAACAACCAATTTTAAGTATGATGAATCAAATGACTTTGAACACTCAAATTGGCTCAAAAATAGTAATTAAAACTTAATGATGACACTAGGAAAGTGATAAAAGATGTTCAACAATGAACTAGATGTTAAACCAGATTAAAAATTAAAATACTCAAACTATGAATGTGTAGATCAACCAAGTGCATAATCTGACTCTACTAGACTTTTCTCATGGTGCAACCAAGCTTTTTGCCTAAGCATTTCATTTCTTATATGGTATGTACCTGATACTTATTCATTCCAACACTTTTATCACAAATTTCAAAGTGCACATAACTTGTATATAGTAAAAACAGATTGCACGCACAACAGAAAACTCAAATCTGAAACTCATGTCACTTATCGTGCACCCGATCTCAATCAATTTGTCATATCTCATATGATGTACAGATGATGATCATTCATTCAGATCACACAAAAAACTCAAAAAGCATATTCAAACCGAATTGAAAGACAAAATAAGTAAATTCACAGAACTTAGACAAAACAAAACAATTAAATGACTCAACACTTCAAATGACCCGATTAAAATGACAAGAAACAATCAAATTAAAGCTGTCACAAAGGAATGAATCAAACAAAACCTAATTAGACGACAAATCCAATAAAATAGTACACAAACAGAGTCAAAAATAGAGAAGGAAATGTAAACAACTCGGAATGAAGTAAATTGTTGCTTAACCCACAACTTGAACAACAACCAGGCTCGGATTACCACACGATGACTCTGTTTAGAATATTTTAAAGTCAAGTATTAGTGAGCAAAGCAATAGATTCACAAACTGAACTTTAAGTGCAGCAAAATGTTAAGGTTTATGGTGGAATGGGTGAATTGAAGTGCTTATGGAGGTGGTTCTAACTCAGGTGGCCTACCATCTATGGAAGGAAGCTAGAGGAGTAAAGGGAGAATCAAGAGGAAGGGACTTTTGGGCAAGAAGGAGGCTGGAGTGTTCTCAACAAAATAACTCGATATATCATCCAAAAGTGCCTTTACAAGAAAGGCGGATGCTTCATTTATAGAAAATTCAGCACCCATGCTCGAGCTCTTATGCTAGGCTTATTATCACTCGAGATTTGTGGATCAAAGGCCATGTAGACAAGTGTTTATCACATGTCGAATTCAAAGATTGCACCAAAAACACATGCACAAATAAAAGAAAGCTTATGGGCTCGCTGAGAACATAGGGTTTGCACTGGGCGCATGTTAACCCTAACAATTAATGAAAGAAAGCATATAGATTAAAGAACCAATTCAATACATGAGAGTTTCGAAGGATTATATCGGTTCCCCAACAACAATGAAGGTTTAGTTCACCATAGACATGGTGAAATTAGATGAAAAATAATGAAAGCATGAAAGATAGAACCCTAGAAGTTGAAGAATAGAGCTTGAGCATCCAAAATCCTCCTCCAAGGGGTGAAGAAAGTGTGATTTCGCCTCTTTCTGTCCAAAGATACTAACCCTAATTCGGCTAAAACCTTATATAGATTCCTAAAAATTATAGAAAATAGGCCCAAGCCCAAACTAAATGGCGCTCAGTGGTAATTAGCGCTCAACGGTAAGTGCAGTTCTTCTATTTTGACGCTCAGCTGCAGTTTTTCCCCTCAGCGTTGACTACGAGACTTCAGTGTACCGCTCAGCGGTAAATGTGGCGCTGAGCGGTGACTGCGACTCTTCTTTTAAGCACGTTCACTTCCTTTCTTGAGTCCAACTCCTTACTACTTCAACTTCTTTCCTCTAATTCATCTCAATTCCTGCAAAACAAGGAAAACCAAGCATAAAACCCATCCAACTCTCTTATTTCCAAAACATAAGCAAAAGCATGATTCCAAGCTAGTTTATAAGTCATAAAGGTTGTTTTTTTATGTCAAAATTAAGTATAAAAATAATAGTTTTTCAACTGTTATCAGCGCACCATCTTTGGGTTGAACAATGTGTTAGCTCCCTTCAAGGGTCGAGGTGATGAAATTTAGACCTCCTTTGAGGTCCATTAGCTGCCAATGAAAGTGAACATATAAGGCTTGGGTCTCTTTTGATGTATCCTCAAGGTCTTGTTGGATCTTTCTTGCCATTCCACGAGTAATGGGCCCTTGAATGGGTTGTGGGCTTGGGTCCAAGTCATGGGGTTGACATCTCACTCCAAAACTTAGGAGATTTAGCTCCTCATAATGAATGGAAAAAATTGAATACATGGAAGAAACTCCATCTCATTGAAAGATGTTATTTAAAGTACAAAGGAAATGTGTGAGAGAACTCTCCAAAGTCTCTATCTAAATCTCTCTAAAAGGTCCCTAAAGGTCTTCTAAAAAAAATACTCCAAAAAAAGTCTTCTAAAGTAAAGGTGAAATCACGTTTTTATATACTCTGACAGCGTAGCTCCAGCGATGACTTCCATGGCTCTAGCCGTGAGGTTTCCTCCCAATGTGGGTTTCTTCTACAGCTTAAGCTTTACATTTCTAAGTTGGAGCCTCTTGATATTACTTCTAGGTGAAGGATTCTTCGTGGCTTAATCCTCGAATCAGGACTTGAGGTTTTGCCTCCAAGGCGAATTTTCTTGATCTGGCTCAAGCCCCAGATTTCATGCTGAAGTCAATTTGTTGTGAAATGCTCAAAATTTCTCTGTTTTCTTTATAATTCATCAAAATCTGCAAAACAAGAAAAATTGCGGTGATTAACATAAATATTTAACAAAATCAAAGCAAGATAAGTGTCAAATTACCATCAAAACTAACTCATATTAGGAACTTATCAGTAACCAACTAAGCTCATAAAACTTTTTATTGCATACACATTCTTTGGACGCTCAAACTAAAGCATTGCATCCACCTTAACTAGATCTACTGGTATCCCCTAGACTAATTTCCCTTGGATTAATATCCCTTGGACTGATATTATAACTCCTAAGACCTACATTTCCTTTGTTAAAATAGAATGTCTCAATTTCTCACACCAAGAGGGGGGTGAATTAGTGAAATGTAAAAATAAAATCTTTTTCACAAAAATGATGCCTTGATACTTTTCTAGAATCGCAAGGTAAAAGATTTTCAATGGAGCTGAAATTTAATCGAATGAATGCAGAACGTAATCGATTGAATAAAGAGAGTAGGGATGAGAAAATTCAAACAATGTTTTTACAATAAAGCTTTTATAGTGACCACAAGAAGCCAATGCATTATAATGATCAAGGTTTTTACAATAAAGCTTTTATAGTGACCACACGTCAAAAATATAAAACACCTCTCTAACCCTCTAATCAAAATATAGGCAATACACAACAAAGACCAACAACAAGAATCCCCTCTTCTGTTGTCTAAAGCCTTTGACACACTCTCAAAGTCAAGAACGCCGCACGCTCTTCTTCCTGTAATCACAACAGAGAACCTCAAACCAATCTTCAAAAGATTGTAGAATCTGATCTCTCAATGACACCTAAATGTGCAAGTTGATCAGCCTTTGAAAAAGACAGTAATCTTGCTGTTCAAGAAATCACAAGTAATTGATCACCACAGTCACTTTTGTTTCTTGGAGCTTTTCTTTACTTTCTTAAAGATCACAACTTTTTGCAAAAGATATAAAAATGTTAGAATCACAAAAGTTTTTAGAGAAATCAAATTTGTGTCAATTTATAGAATAACTCATCTTAGACGCATTTTAATCAACTTAGCTACTAAAGCATTCAAATACAACAATTATGTTATAACAATTAGCAGCAATCACGATAATTAATTGAATGCGCAATTAATGCAGTCGACTAACATTTAATGCTTGGTCAACACAACAAAAAATATGACCGTTAGACAATTATGTCAAGCATTAACAGTTATTCAAAACAATAACTAACTTAATCGAATACAGCATGCATGCAATCGATTATGCAACAATGTTAAGCATAGTTTTGAAAAACTTTCTCTTTGAAAACTTTCACAACACATTTGAAAATAGTTTGTGCAAAGACACGAGTTTTAATTGATTCACCCCATAATGAAGTCGACTTAAAACTGTTGTTTTGCCACACATTCATGCATAATTGATTAAGTTGTCGCCTTGTGGAAACACCTCTTGTGATATCACCAATAATGTTGCTTGTCGAGACATTTTTTGGTGTTTTCCACTCTTTAATGGATTCAGTTCTAGGGGATTCGATTGCCTTCTAAGAATTTTCCTCTCCTGGAACATATTCATTTTCTTTTTCTTCATCAGCAGAATCATCTGCATCTATTGACTTTCTAGATTGAACAGGATTAGTGGTAATATCAATATACTCATCAAAGGCTACATGAACAAATTCTTCAACACACATTATTCTTTTGTTATAAACACGATAAGCTTTACTTGTAAGAGAATAACCAATAAAGACAGCCTCATCGTCTTTGGAATCAAACTTACCATGTTTTTCCTTACCATTTTTTAGAACGAAACATTTGCATCCAAAGATTCGCAGATGTGAGATGTTAGGCTTTCTTTCCTTGAACAATTCATAGGGAGTCAATTTCAGCATTGACCTTATTATTGTTCTATTCAGTACATAACATGTTGTACTCACTGCATCTGCCCATAAGTACTTCGGGAAGTCTTTCTCATTTAGCATGGTTCTTGCAAGTTCTTCTAGTGCTCTATTCTTCCTTTCTACAACTCCATTTTGCTGAGGTGTCCTTGGAGCAGAGAAGTTGTGAGTGATTTCCATTTCTTCATATTATTCATCAAATGTTTCATTTTGGAACTCTTTCCCATGGTCACTTCTTATGCACTTTATTTTGAGCTCTTTTTCTTTTTGAATGGCTGCTGCAAATTTCTTGAACACCCTGAAAGTTTCACTCTTGGCAGAAATGAAGAAAGTCCAAGTAAATCGAGAATAGTCATCAACAATAACTAAGCCATACAAGTTTCCTCCAAGACTCCTAACCCTTGAGGGACCAAATAAGTCCATATGTAAGAGTTGCAGAGGTCTGGTGGTTTACATTTCTCTTTTATTCTTAAAAGATTGTCTTGTTTGTTTTCTTTTTTGACATGCATCACACAATCTTTCAGAAATAAAGCGTATATTAGGAAGACCAATGACAAGATCTTTAGACACTAGCTTGTTCAATTGACCCATGTTAATATGAGCTAGTCTNATGTTAGGCTTTCTTTCCTTGAACAATTCATAGGGAGTCAATTTCAGCATTGACCTTATTATTGTTCTATTCAGTACATAACATGTTGTACTCACTGCATCTGCCCATAAGTACTTCGGGAAGTCTCTCTCATTTAGCATGGTTCTTGCAAGTTCTTCTAGTTCTCTATTCTTCCTTTCTACAACTCCATTTTGTTGAGGTGTCCTTGGAGCAGAGAAGTTGTGAGTGATTACCATCTCTGCACAGTATTCATCAAAAGTTTCATTTTGGAACTCTTTCCCATGGTCACTTCTTATGCACTTGATTTTGAGCTCTTTTTCGTTTTGAATGGCTGCGGCAAATTTCTTGAACACCCTGAAAGTTTCACTCTTGGCAGAAATGAAGAAAGTCCAAGTAAATCGAGAATAGTCATCAACAATAACTAAGCCATACAAGTTTCCTCCAAGACTCCTAACCCTTGAGGGACCAAATAAGTCCATATGTAAGAGTTGCAGAGGTCTGGTGGTTCACATTTCTCTTTTATTCTTAAAAGATTGTCTTGTTTGTTTTCTTTTTTGACATGCATCACACAATCTTTTAGAAATAAAGCGTATATTAGGAAGACCAATGACAAGATCTTTAGACACTAGCTTGTTCAATTGACCCATGTTAATATGAGCTAGTCTTTTGTGCCATAACCATGCATCATCTTCTTTGGACATCAGGCAAACAACAAATTTGAAGGAGGTTTGTCTGAAATCGATTATGTAAATGTTGTTGTACCTTTTCCCTATTAATAATAACTCATCGGTTGAACCATTGCTAATCAAACAGTATTTTGGTTCAAAAGTTATTTTTATCCCTTTATCACACAATTGACTAATGATGAGCATATTATGTTTCAATCCTTCAACAAGTAGCACATTTTCAATTTCAAATGTAGAAGGAGTTTAAATTTTACCAATACTAATGATTTTCGCTTTGTTGTTGTCACCGTAAGTGACGTGTCCAGTAGTCTTATAGGACATGCTTGTAAATTTTGTGAATCTCCTGTCATGTGAACATCCACTGTCTAGATACCATAGGGAGCCTTTTGTTTCTTGTTCTAAGCCCGATTTTGCCTTCTCAGATTTAGCCATCATGATGAGATTGCTTCCTGACACGTTTTCTTTATTGTCATTTTGATGCCTGTGAACTTTCTTCTCATTTAGAAACCTCGTAAACTTTTCAGCCTGTACATTTATCCTTTCGCTTTTTTCAAAAGATTCATAAAAACCATTAGTAGTGGAGTTTGACTTGACATTACAAGTAACATGCACTAATTCAAACCCAGATTCACTTGTCTTTCTTGTTTGAGAAACAGAAGTCATTTTCCAAGATCAATCGATTAAACGAAAATAGTAATCGATTAGTTTTTCAAATATTTTATGAAAACCAGCTCTGGTGACAATTGTTAAAATAGAATGACTCAATTTCTCACACCAAGAGGGGGGGGGGGTGAATTGGTGAAATGTAAATATAAATTGTTTTAAAATCTTTTTCACAAAAATGATGCCTTAATACTTTTCTAGAATCGCAAGGTAAAAGATTTTCAATGCAGCGGAAATTTAATCGAATAAATACATAACGTAATTGATTGAATAAAGAGAGTAGGGTTGGAAAAATTCAAACACTGTGTTTTTATACTGGTTCGGCCAAACCGACATCTAGTGTCCTTCCAACCACAGGAAACCAATGCACTATAATGATCAAGGTTTTTACAACAAGGCTTTTATAGCGACCACACGTCAAAAATATAAAGCACCTCTCTAACCCTCTAATCAAAATATAGGCAATACACAACAAGACTAATATCAAGAATCCCCTCTTCTATTGTCTAAACCCTTTGAGACAATCTCAAAGTCAAGAACGTCGCACACTCTTCTTTCCTACTCACAACAGAGAACCTCAAACTAATCTTCAAAAGATTGTAAAATCTGATCTCTCAATGACACCCAAATGTGCAAGTTGATCAGCCTTTGAAAAACACAATAATCTTGTTGTTCAAGAAATCACAAGTAGTTGATCACCACGGTCACTCTTGTTTCTTGGAGCTTTTCTTTACTTTCTGTAAGATCACAACCTTCTGCAAAAGATATAAAAATGTTAGAATCACAAAAGTTCTTACAGAAATCAAATCTACGTCAATTTATAAAATAACTCATCTCAGACGCATTTTAATCGACTTAGCTACTAATGCATTCGAATATAACAATTTTGTTATAACAGTTAGCAGCAACCACGACAATTAATTGAATGCGTAATTAATGTAGTCGACTAACATTTAATGCTTGGTCAACACAATAAAAAATATGACTGTTAGACAGTTATGTCAAGCATTAACAGTAATTCAAATTAATAACTAACGTAATCGAATACAACATGCATGCAATCGATTATGCAACAATGTTAAGCATAGTTTTGAAAAACTTTCTCTTTGAAAACTCTCACAGCACATTTGAAAATAGTTTGTTCAAAGACACGAGTTTTAATCGATTCACCCCATAATGAAGTCGACTTAAAACTTTTGTTTTGCCACACATTTAAAGTTCAACATAAGTGCTTGTGGTTTTCCTTTTCAACATCAAATGTCATGCATTCACACATAAAAACACATATGTAACATAGTGATATGCAATGAACAACACAAACATGCTCTCATATATGCTTAAACAGATTTAACACAGTGATCAAAAGCATATAACATGTAAATATGGAACATGTAACACAGAATATACATGTGTTATTAATTATGTGTTTTCATCATCAAAAACTCAGATATTATTGAGATTGTGGGTTAAGCTAAAACCTTTGCTCCCCCTATCAACAATCTCAACATCCTTCATCGAAAAGTCACATTTGGATAGTTATTTCATGTAATTGCTTCTTCCTTAAAATGTCAAACATTGTCATCTATGAAGACAAAAACAAACTTATCTAAGAAGGGTCTGAAGATCTTGTTCATGTAGTCCATGAACAAGGTTGGAGAATCGGTCACTTCAAAGGGAATCACTATATACTCATAGTGCCCATAACATGATCTAAAAGTCGTCTTTTACACATCCTCAAACTTAACAAGAATTTAGTGGTCACAAGACCTTAAGTCTATCTTAGAGAACACCATAGCTTCATGATATTGGTCCATTAAGTTATCTACCCTTGGTAGATGGTATTTGTTCTTGATGGTAAGCTTGTTCAACTTCTTGTAATCCACACATAACCTAGAATTGTCATCCTTTTTCTTGTCTATCAACACTAGTGCTCTATAGGGTGATGCATTTGGCCTGATGAACTTCTTCTCTAACAATTATTCTATCTATTCTTTTAGTTCCACTAGCTCTCTAGTAGCCATTATGTGTAGAGCTTATGACATTGGTCATGCTCCTAGCACTAGGTTAATTGAGAACTCAACCTCCCTCTTCGAAGGCAACTTAGGTACTTCAACTGGAAATACATCCATATACTCTTTAATAATCGGGTTTTGACTCTACATTTTCTCCTATTCAACCTCCATATGCGTTAAAACCACATAACACATTGTCTCATCCCTTATCTCCCCTAAGGCTTGATGTGTAGAAAACAACTCTAACTCCTTAGAGTTCAAGAATAGCACTATCTTCTTATTATAATAGATAATCAATCAATCCCGAAGATTATATTTAGGTCTCGTAGAGGTAGGCAGATCAAATTGATTTTGAACATGTGTCCAACTACAATAACTAAACACGCAACACACACTCAAGATATGGTTACTACACTCGAGGTTGGAGTCAATACACTTATATCATATTGTTGATAGGGGGAGTTGTGTTAAAGCTAAACCCATATATCCTATATGTGTTTTTGATGATGACAACAGAAATGTTTTAATAGTTTCTTTCATATTGTCTATATTTGTATTGTTCTTGGACTGTATATTTTTGCATATTCATTGTGATTATATCTATGATTACATTTGTTAATGTATATTCATTGTTTAATAATGAATCTTTGAATATCTTGTTTTTTATGATGTACATGATGATGAATATTTTGTTGATGGACATTATGGATCTGTTTTATTGTTATCTTGCATAAAATAGCAAAACAAATCTTTGATATTATTAATGTGTGTGCTTGATACATGTATTATTGATTGGAAAAAAGTTTACATGTTTAAACAGATTGAAAATGTATTTCAGGTATATTTTAATCTGTTAAAAAATTTGTTTAATCTGTTAAATTGTTTCAGAACTCGTGTATGATTTATTGTAGGTAAATTGTTCTAACATAATCTTTATACAATGTGTATAATCGATTAACTAATAAAGTTGGCCAATACATTTTTTTAAAAGAGTGAAAATCTGATTTATATGAAGATTGAAATTGAATAGTTGCTTAAGTGTAAGACATAACCGATTACATGAGTTGTATAATCGGTTAAGTCATTTTCAAATGATAAATTCAATTTCCTTAAAGTTAATACATTTATAATGGTCATATTGCATTTAGTTTTAGCTGTTAAGAAGTGTTTAATCGATTGCATGCGCCATATAATCGGTTAAAAGTCATATTTTGAAATGCTGTCAAAATCTGCTAAACTAGTAGTAAAAACTTAATCGATTACATTAATAGAGTAATCGATTAAAATGCGTCAGGATTTTGAAAATCCTATAAATAGTTGTCTTGCATGCTGTTTCAAACTAATCTTTGAACATTCAATTTCATAACTAACATTTTGATTGAGTTTTGATTACAGGAGCGTCCAAGAACCATCTTGAGGAATCAAGGATCAACTATCAAGAAGTGTGCTTAAAGGTTGTTGATCATATCTACACTATTGGAGTGCTTGTTGTGAAGATCAGGTTTATCATTTTCAATCAGTGGATAGAGTTCTTGTGCTGTTGTGCCAGGGGGAGAGAACTGTGATTGTTCTCATTGAGATTTGGGATTTCTCTCAAGGTATTCTTAGAGTTGGGATTTCTCTAAGGTGACAGAAAGTTGGGATTGCTTTCTGGGTTTTGAGAGTTTGAGGGTGTTCTCCTCTTGTTTGCTATAAGTGATATTGAGTAGGGAAGGAGAGTGCATTGAGAGGGAGTCTTTGTATTCTTCCTTGTAAACTCTATCATTTTAGTGGTTCCCTTCAACTAAGGTTGTTGAAGGAAGACTAGATGTAAGCTTGGCCGAACCAGTATAAATCTATGTGTTGATCTTTCTATCTTTTCTCTTTATTTGTTGATTCTAACACTCTTGCTCATTGATTTCAAGAAACATTAAGAAAGCTTCAAAGATTTCATACAGGTTTTTAAAAGAACATTTTTAACAAAGAATAACCTATTCACCCCCCTCTTGGTTGAGATACTTAGCCTACTATTTTCTACTCATATTATAGCTCTTTAACACATAGAACTAAATCTCCCATATAAACCTTTGGAATAAATGAGTGTGTTGGTCCAAAGTCAAACAACACACACAATTTCTTACCAGATATCAAATACTTTCGGCAAACCAAGTTACTTGCTCTAGAAACCTTTGCACCCGAAACCGTATACACTTTGCCAGTTTCCTGAGGTCTAACACCTCCTATGCTCCTCTATTGTTGTTGAACTACCCTTGAAGGTACCCTTGGTCTTCTGGTGTTATGGCAGTCCCTACGATATTGCCCATCCCTACTGAACAGGTTGCATCTCTCGAGATTAACTATATAAGGGCATTCTCAGATAAAATTGGGTCCTCCACATCTAACTATATAAGGTATCATGGTATTGTTATGACATGAAGGCACTCTAGTGCTGCAAAGTTGCAACCATGGTCTCAATTTCCTAGCTAAATTGGAAATTTCAAAAGAAGGAAAAGGCAGAGGGGTAGGTGGCCTATGTGTCATCACTTCTATTCACACAAGGAAAGACAATTTAGTCGTAATATAAATTATACTTTATCTATAACTCTTTTAACCACTTATCAAAAACAAAATAAAATAAAATAGTTCCAAACACATAAATCACCAAAGGACAGACCTGCTATGATACCATAAATGTAATGACCTCCCTAAAATTGAGAAATTATATTTCTAGAGTTTATACATTATAGGTATGTAAGAAAACCTGGAAAAATAGATGCAAAAGACACACACGCACACACACACATAATGTAGTTGTAGTCCTTAGTGTTAAAGATTTTCAAAATAAGTAAATCTCTTCATAGCTTAGTCAAAAAAGAAATGATAAAACTACATAATACATCATGTTTATATACATCAAACAAAACGCAGAAAATGCCAGGTTCAATCATCTCTCATATGGTCTACCTTCACTTGTAGCCTCATTTTCTCGCACCATAAGAACGATTGTAG